ATAAACCCGCTTTTCTTTTTAATTGGCAGGATCTAGCTGTTGTATTTGGCTGTGGTCATATATATGAATTTGTCCATACTCTGAAGAGTTTAAATTTAAGTTTTTATGCCAAAGAATAAAAAAACAGAGGTGTTGACCCTCTTGTACAGACAGGACACAGGCTCAGAGAAATGCAGTGACAGCTTTAGTCTTCTGCAGTCAATCTGTGGCATACCCTGGCACTGAAGCTTTAACCACTGCCTATCTGTTTAATCACAGGATTATCTTTTGCATTAGTTGACTCTGTTACACACCATTGATCCTTATTTCTGTTTCTGAGACCAGAGAAAACGAAAAAAAAAATGTTTGCTTTTCAAAACACGGCCTTGGATGCAATGCTTAAAAGCTTGTTGTGAACTTTGTGAGTTGAGAAGGAAGGACTCTTTGACGATTGTTTTTGATGTGCAACATGAGGTATTTTTCTCTATTTTCTCTCTGCTGCAGGATATCTGCTTAGCACAAGCTGATTTGCCCTACACAGCTGTTACGTACTTCAGAGTAACTGTGACTGACACAGAGTGAACACGCATGTCCAATTCCAAAATCTGTCTGAGAAGATAGATTATATCCGCTGTGTGCCTTTGATTAGTGAAGTAGGAAAACCAGATAACATATAATCCTAAGGCTGTTGAGAAAGAGACTACATGTGATACACAACTGTGATTACGGGGATGTTGAAGACTTTAGGCTCAAAAGCAGACAGTTGTGGCCACATTGCAATTCTCTAGTCCTTCTTGTTTTGTGTAGATAAAATTACTTAATTAGCAATATTTTTAGTACACTGATGATTTGAGCTTTCAGTTATATGTTTTCACACAAACAGTGCAAGTGTTTTGTTAGTCTGTAAACCACTTGAAACTAATTTGTGTACGATGGCAAGAAATTATAGTTTATTAATAAAATTTTGATTGTACAGGGTGAATGGGTTATATAGAACAAAACTTAATTTCATTTTTTTTTTTACAACTTTGCCATCAGAGAAGATTGAAATAAGATTGCATATAAATTTTATGAAGAGAACCTTAACTTGACAGCAATTATTTTTTATTTAACTTAGTATATGACAAGAAATAATTCCTCCCAGTGTTTTCTATGGTGGGGAAAAAACTCTGTCAAACTCTCCCTTTTTTTTTTTTTCTTTTTTAAATTAAGTGTAAACTTATAAAACATGCGTCATGTTGCAGATACGGTTGTTGTAGAGGAAAGAGTAATAGTGTTTTTCTGGAAATTTCCCTAATTCTATAGTTTGTAATGAATTATTATGTTTTTAACAGTTTAGTTGAGCTGGAAGGATATGGTGAATTTTGAGGACTTGCAAGATCCTTTGGCAACTGGGGAGTGTGAGCTGGTTCCAGCTACGAGAGCAGCCTGGGATGATGACAGATGTGAATTGTAGGAGTGACAAAGGGGACTTAAAAACCAAAATATGTGAAATTCATGAGGCAGTAGCTGGGGAGCAGTAGAAGTTGAGATTAGACAGAGGAAGATTTGTACATGTGAGACTCAGGAGAAAGAATGGATTTTATTTTATTAGAAAAAAGAAAAAACAAAAAGGCCAGCAGCTAGTAAAATTACTAAACTGGCAAAGCAGCATGTTTAGAAGAGCACACGAGACTTTAGCAGTGGGTTCTCTTTTTGTTTAGTTGACTGTAGATAGAAAGTATTAAATGCTGAAGGAAAGGGCAGGACACTTAAAATACAGGATAGGAAATAGATGGGGAGTGAAAACATTGTAAAAGAATGGTGATGCACTGAGGTTATCTGTTAACAACTCTGAAAGGAATTCATTCAGAAATAGTTTGGACACATTAATCAGCTAATCCTTGTGGTATTTTATGAAATAGGTGTCATGACAGGTAGTAAACACTGGAGGAGAGTGGAATTAATTTCTAAGCTATAGGCAAGCAGTAAAATTTATCACAATTAATAACATCTAACAACTGCTGCTAGCTTATTTACTGGCAGTTTTTGTAATACAGATAAAGTATGGGTCTAGTAACCAATCTTTATTCCTGCGGTCTTATCTAATGTGGGCTTGAATGGGTAATGTCATGCAAGTAATCCCTTTGGATTTAGTGGAATTGTATGTTGACAGCAAGTGTTGCAGGGTGCAAAGCCAGTGTGCTGAATCCCCTTGCACAATAACTGAAATAGTTTGAAAATTGAGACATCAGACCTTTTTGCAGTAATAGAGATTTTGAACTAGAGCAGCTATATTTTTTCTAAATTAGTTGATACAGAAGTAATGGAAGATAAGGAGGTGATTGGTGACAGCCAACATGGCTTCACTAAGGGCAAGTCATGCCTGACAAATTTGGCGGCCTTCTGCAATGGGGCTACAGTGTTAGTGGATAAGGGAAGAGCAACTGACGTCATCTGCATGGACTTGTGCAAAGCATTTGATGCTGTCGCACACAACATCCTTGTTTCTAAATTGGAGAGACATGGATTTGGTGGATGGACCACTCAGTCGTAAGGAATTGACTGGATGGTTGCACTCAAGAGTTGTGGTCAGCAGCTCAGTGTCCAAGTGGAGCCCAATGATGAGTGGTGTTCCTCAGGTACTGGGACCAGCGCTGTTTAACATCTTTGTTAGAGACATGGACAGTGGGATCGAGTGCACCCTCAGCAAGTTTGCCGATGACACCAAGCTGTGTGGTGCAGTTTACACGGTGGAGGGAAGGGAAGCCATCCAGAGGGACCTTGACAAGGCTTGAGAAGTGGGCCTGTGCAAACCAGATGAAGTTCAACAAGGCCAAGTGCAGGGTCCTACACATGGGTCGGTTCAATCCCAAGCACAACTACAGGCTGGGTGGAGAATGGCTTGAGAGCAGCCCTGAGGAGAAGGACTGAGGGGTGTTGGTGGACGAGAAGTTCAATGTGACCTGGCAATGTGCACTCGCAGCCCAGAAAGCCAACCGTGTCCTGGGCTGCATCAAAAGAAGTGTGACCAGCAGGTTGAGGGAGGGGATTCTCCCCCTCTGCGCTTGTGAGACCCCGTCTGGAGTACTGCATCCAGCTCTGGGGTCCCCAGTACAAGAAAGACATGGACCTGTTGGCGCGAGTCCAGAGGAGGACCATGAAGATGAGCAGGGGGCGGGAGCACCTCTCCTATGAAGACAGGCTGAGAGAGTTGGGGTTGTTCAGCCTGGAGAGGAAAAGGCTCCAGGGGGACCTTCTAGCAGCCTTCCAGTGCCTGAAGGGGCCTACAGGAAAGCTGGAGAGGGACTATTGACAAGGGCATGTCAATAATGGCTTTAGACTGAAGGAGGGGAGATTTACAGTACATATAAGGAAGAAATTGTTTACTGTGAGGGCTGTGAGACGTTGGAACAGGTTGCCCAGAGAAGTTGTGGATGCCCCCTTCCTGGAAGTGTTCAAGGCCAGGTTGGATGGGGCTTTGGGCAACCTGGTCTAGTGGAGGGTGTCCCTGCCTGCAGCAGGGGGGTTGGAACTAGATGATCTTTAAGGTCCCTTCCAACCCAAACCATTCTGTGATTCTATGATATACCCTGTAAGCAATGTGTGAATCTGCCAAACAAATACCATTTTCCATCCTTAGAGAAATAAAAACTAGGCACAATAGGACATATCACACAAATTGCAATAGGAATACTTTAGAGAATAATTTTGAGCATTTAGAAGTGTTTCTAACTTCAATTAGCATATTTCTGTTTATCATTTCTCTAAGGAAAATGTAACTCTGCTAAACCTTAAGAAAATATTCAATGTTACAGGCTTAAACAACCATAGAAAATTCTTCTTTATAGAAGTCCAAATTCCCTGTCTTGGAAAACTGCAGGTATTTTTGGCAGATTCTAAACCATTGTTACTCAGACTTGCTCATGGCAAAATAAAATTGAAGAAGTGAAGGTTTCTTTCCTTTTCTGTGTTCCGAAGTCATCCATGAGGAGAATAGCTACCACTGCAAAATGTTCTTGTCAAGGCTATCACCCCATGATGAGAAAAATTACTGGATTTAATTAATTTTTTTAAATATTTCTATATATGTCATGGTTGTATCAGCTTTTTCTGAAGATCTCAGTACATGATTACTGTGATGAGCTCTGACCACATTTTTTTCATGAACAAGCTAAACAGACTCTGTTTCCATTATTCTTAGGAAGATACCAGACTAGTCCCCTAAGTATATGTACAATGTCACTCATCAGCATGAAATTATTTGCTTAACCATAAAGGCAAATATGAGCATATAGTACTTTTTTTCTGTTTGGTCCCTATCTTTCTGAATTAATTTGCTACATGGATATTTTCCTGTGTCTGTCAAATTGGGATTTCTTTAATTTTTCCATGGGCCATTCCCTCCCAGACTATTCTTATTTCTTTGTTATTATTTGATTATAAAGCAGATGTAGCTCTAACTGTTGTTTCTCAACCATGTTTTTTCTTCGGGTGCAGGGCATTAAGGAGTTGAGCATAAATACTAGTTTGATACTTTGATCCTATTGTACTGTCTAACACAGTGAATATCCCATGCTTTCAGCGCTGGGAGGACTGAGGATAGAGTTTGCAGATAAATGAAGAAATATGCCGCGTGGATTGTTCAGTGTCAGATCCCTTATGGTTCTTTCACTAGCCACATGAGAAGAAATACCACATTTGAACTCAACTTGGACGAGCTTACAGCTGTAAGAAAAAGTGGTTATCCCATATTTAGTGGTTACTGCATATCCTTAGATGTGGGCTGAACCCAAGAAACAAGCTTATTCTTAAGAAAAAAGGTTCTTCTAAAAAGAACTTACATTCACTAGAAGAGTTTAACTTGTTTTTTCTTCATACAAAACAAAACCTGAGAATTTCTGCATCCCTACTTGCCAAATGGTGGCTTTCTGTTAACCATTTACTCTTTCCTACAACTTAATGACATGTCTTTTGCTTTTGTCTTTCAGATTTCCTTATGTGGTCAAGTAGATGTATTTATTTCAGCCTCAAAATTGCTGATGCCAATGCTTGCTATGGCATCTGCGGCTTCACCGGTTATATTTAAGGAGTTTTGTCCCTTATATTATCTTCTCAATGCCATTCCTACAAAGGTCCAAAAAGGCTTTCGCTCTATTGTGGTATACCTCACAGCACTCGATACCAATGGAGACTACATTGCTGTGGGGAGCAGCATTGGAATGCTTTATCTCTACTGCAGGCATTTAAACCAGATGAAAAAATATAATTTTGAGGTAAATACTGTTACTCTTCTGTCTTCTAATGAAGCTGAGTTGCTCAGAATTGAGCTGCTGTTTGTCTCTCGTTAACTTTGTGAGTTTGATGTATGGTTTGTTTCAACAGGGGAAGTGTGAATCTATCACTTTTGTAAAGCTGTTGAGTTGTTTCGATGATCTAGTTGCTGTTGGTACAGCCTCAGGTCGGGTTGCAGTTTTTCAGCTTGTGTCTTCATTACCTGGAAGAAACAAACAGGTAAATCTTTACATTTGGCTAAACTTCTGTGAGGTTTAGTATGTTGAATCCTAGTAGAGTATTATCGTGATTCTTTATAATAGTAAAAACCAGAGAATTTTGCCTGATGAAATAGCTGTGAATATATTTTAGGCTTCATATGTTAAGTATAAAAACAATAATCTTAAAGCATGTTTTTCATTACAAAAGCTATATTTAATCAAAAATGCTTTTGAGAAAAACCTCATTTGTAATGACTGGCTGAGCTATTTGGTGGTGGGTTTTTTGTTTAGATTTTTTGTGCTAAATAAAAATCAGAATGACCTGCACTTTTGTACTTGATCTCCAGTTTATTAGTCAGAGTCACTGAATAGTAACTCTTCCCCTCCTTGTAATGCTTTGGTATTGTTTCACAGCTTCGGAGATTTGATGTTGCTGGTATCCACAAAAGTAGCATTACAGCTTTAGCTTGGAGTCCCAATGGAATGAAATTATTCTCTGGAGATGACAAAGGGAAGATTGTCTACTCTGCCCTAGACCTGGATCAGGTGAGCATTTATTAGAGAGCCCTTAATTCCCGTTTACAATTTTCTGAAAGAATGCTTGTGTGTTTAAATATTTAGCAGTTAGTTAATTGCTTAGTATCATATTTAGTTGGACTGTTTTATTGGTATGTGTACACTTGTACTCCACATTCATTGAGTGAACTTTGTGCAACAGTAGCTCAAAAGCTTTTGTTTGTTTATTTGTTTTCTCTTTCTTTGGTTTATTTATTTCTTTGAAGTGTTAGTTGTTATATTTTTAGAAAGGTTGACTCTTGTTAATTGCATGTATCTTTAAAAGGGTATTTGCAACTCCAGCCTTGTACTGGAAGAGCCATCTTCGATTGTCCAGTTGGATTACAACCAGAAAGTGCTGCTTGTCTCTACTCTACAACGGACTCTACTTTTTTACACGGAAGAGAAATCTGTCAAGCAAGTTGGAACACAGCCAAGAAAAAAGTAACCCTCATAAACTGTGGATGCAGGCACATCTATTAAATCTAGCTTTTCAGAACAGATTACAGAAAGAGTAATCTAAGCAGTGAAATTAATACAACACAGCAGCCCACTCATAAAAAGTTACAGTAGCTATGTGTGCTCAAACGTGAAATGACAATTCTACCTACTTGGAAAGTGCATGGTTACAAATATGTTACAATCATATTTTCAGGGCACTATTATGCAAAAATATTTAAGCGGTTTTTCTTATTGTTTAAACTGAAATCACTGCCAAACTTCCTCCACAGTCCCTCTTGGTTTACTGTGACTTGGTGTGAGCAAGCATTGTAATCAAGTCCATCTAATGGGTGATGCAATATCTGATGCAAAAAGCAAGTCAGCACCCTAATTTTTCTTATCCACTGAAGTGAATTAAAAGGGGAAAATGTATAGCAAGCACTTAAAGTTGACTTGAAAGCTCAGAACTTCTTGTATGACCTTCCAGCATCTTCTATTGTGTAATCTCTCTCAGATATGAAGGAAGAGGGAACCCAGTTTTATAACAGCATGACTGACTATATCTGGAAGTAGAGGAAATTGACTCTTCAAAGAAGGCTTATAACATATCTTTCAGGGATATGAATAGTAAGAGGAGTACCAAGGACCATCTTATGTACAAGGGGTTTTCTTGGGTGATAGTAATGATGGTGTTATGCATGAGAGATGAAGATTCTAACAGTTGAGGACTGTTCCTTGCTTCTTGCAAGTAGAGGTTGTCGGTTACTTAGCATTTGTTTGTGGTGTTTTGCTTGTTTTTGATTAATTCTGGGAGAAGGATGACTGCATAGTAGGATCTTTCTGAGATAGACAAAGAGTGCCATTAAGGCTCTGAAGCTTATTAGGAATCAGTTAACTTGCCTAGTAGATGTAGTGTCTGACATTTAAAGGTGAGGGAAAATTGTTGGTATTTGGAAGCACCGTTCTTGTCTTACTGTAACCAAATTTCTGCTTCAGACATTTGACTGAATACTTTGATCAAGGATTTTTATTTTTTTTATAATTTATAGTTGTAACTTTGTGCCATAAGTTTTAAAAATTAATTCTAAGTTGAGTATATATCTTTTAAAATAAATTATTCTTTTGCATTTTAGCACTGGCAAATTTGGAGCATGTTTTATACCTGGCCTATGTAAACAGAGCGACCTGACACTATTTGCTGCCAGACCTGGGCTTCGTCTCTGGAAGTCTGATGTTCATGGAACTGTTCAGGCCACGTTCATATTGAAAGATGTATTTGCTGGAGGAATAAAAACTTTTGAACTGTATCCTCGTTTGGAACCTCCTGACACAGGAAGTTATGGCTCCCCAGAGAAACACCTTGGGCTTGTTTCGTGCTTTTTCCGAGAAGGATGGGTGCTGACCTGGAATGAATACAGCATCTACTTACTAGACACTGTGAATCAGGTAGATAAATCTTGTCAGTGCATATTTTGTTTCTTACTTGTTTTTGTTCATGCTATGTTGTGAGACTTTTCTTTAGGTTATCCATTACACTTCTATGATTTAAATCCATATTTATACCTAACAAAGAAGACTTTATTCTCTCCCTCTTCAAGTTGTCATTGCAATGATATCTTCACAAACTAGCTCGATATATTATATAGAAAAATTAAATATATTTAAAGGATTCAGTTCCGGTGTTAACATCATAATCAATTCTGATATTTAGCAAAGCATATATAAATCTAAAATTTAGTAGTTAATGCAAAAAGGAGCACCTAGAACTATTTATTCTTTCCCTTCTACTACTGTTGGTGTCTGCAAAAAACCAAGTATTAAATTTTATTTGGTATAGAGTGAGCTGTTAGCTATTTGTATTCTTAAAAATATGTATTAAAGTGAATACAAGCTACTGTCTTTTTATCTAAGTGGTATTAAACGTTTGTATTGTGGCTCTCTTCTGCCACCAAATTGTATATTGTTTAAGTTGTTATACTGTTGCTGCTAGTTTGGACAGAGAAAATTAATAGATCTATGGAATTAAAATTAGTATAAAAATGAGCTACATCATGATTAAAGGGTGCTTTCCTGTTTCTTTTTTTCTATTATATTTCTTTTTGATAAGATAAAATCTTTATTCTGTAACTATATATGTTGATTAAATTCCAGTGAACACTTTTGTTAAGAGTACCATCTTGTCGAAACAGTGTGTTAATCTGATGCCGATTGATTCTTTCTGTGTTGACTCTTTATAGGCTTTGATTGGTGGCTTGGAAGGATACGGTGATATTGTGTCTGTGTCCTGTACCAACAATGAGATTTTTCTCTTAAAGGGAGATAGAGACATAATAAGAATTTCAAGTAGACCTGAAGGACTGTCATCAATAGGTTTGTATAGATTAGTAAAATAGAGTATGTACCTCATGGAACATGGTGCCTATCGTACTTTTTTAATATTAAAAAACCCCACAACCCAAACCAAACCCTACACAATAACCTTCAGGTTATTGCAAAAACCCACCAAGTTCTGTAGAGTTACTTATCTGTTTCTACAGATTATATTTAGAGATCTAATTTATCTGCTCATCTGAGCTTCTGTTTTGGCTGCAGTGAGAATGGGGGCATTAAGAAATTAATTATGGTTCCTTTTTTTTGAGAGTGGATCAGCATTATCCTAGCCAGGCATCTCTAATCTGTGCATTTGAGACCTTGTTCTAAACCATGATGCTGAAGCAATCTGGATTCCTGATCATGGTTATCTCTTTACTGATAAATCTCAATTGCCTGGGTTGGAGATACCTGAATATGTTGATTCTGTGCCACCTGTCACCACCCACACTCCAGAGGAAATCTCACCCATCCCAGCCATGAAAAAGAAAGAACTGGCAAAACCAGCAAAGCATACTCACTAAAATTCCAAAAAGAATTTATTTTTTAATTTGTTGCCATCTGCGTTCAGCATCTATGTTACTCTCTAAAAGGGATTAATAATACTTCCTTAATGATGGTGCTAGCTGATTTCTCAATCATAAAGATTGTAAACACCATTATCCAGCATATTACACTCACAGAAGGACTGCTTATGCATTTAAAATACTCTGTCTTAGCTTTGTATTAGCAAAATGCAAGTAAATGTGCTATGAAGTCTCACTGAATGCTAGAGAGCTTAACTTTATTGCATATTAGCAATAGCTTTAGTCATTTCAGCAGTTCTTTACTCACAAACTTCTAGGGGATGTTTATTAATTTAGTCTTAACTTCCAAGTATAATTTCAAAGGAGCCTTCTTGAATTATATTTTCTTCTAATTACCACAGTTGTTTATCTTGTAAATTTTCCTTGATTTTTTTCAAGATACTGAATGTTTGAATGAAGAAGTTGAAGATAGAGTGGCACTTCAGTATGTGATACAGCTGGGTCTTCCAAGCTAAAGACCTATACCATTCTTCATACATAAACATAAATTCAGAATTTTTCTAATAAAAGTTTGGGATAGGTTTTGGGGGATTGATTTTACTAAAATGATTTCATATAGTTTTACTTACGTGAAGTTTACATTGTGTGTTGCTTATATATATTCGAAATGTTGCAAACTTAGAATATTTTTTCATTGCATAAAGCTGCTTTTCTTTCAATACTCTCTAAGAACTATGCTCCTACTCACTTAACATGCTAGTATTTATAATTTTATTTTTCTTTTGGTCAGTTTCAGATGTGAATTCAAAATTGCTGAACCCTTTAACAGATACGAGTCCTAAATTGCTGACCCCACTATCAGTTGCATCTGTATCATCTAGCCCTTCAGTGGAAACAGATAAAAAATTGGTTACTTCCCCTTCAGTTACTGGTGATAAAAGTGACTCTTATTCTTTAGTGAAAGATGATCTGGAAACTCCAACACTATCAGAGAAAAGTTTTGATAGAGTGGGAGACTTGAGCAATGAAACAAGAAAAAGGGGCTGTTCCGTAGTAAGTGAATCGAGAAGCAGGAGCAGTTCAGTAAATTCTGTGGACAGTGGCTCTAGCTTTATGATATGTGCAGACCAGCTTTCAGAAGCTCAGAGAGAAGGTCAGCTTTCTTCACAAAGGTTCAGCACAATCAGCTCTGAAGATTTTGATCAAGAACTCATTGTAAAGCCAATTAAAGTGAAAAAGAAAAAAAAGAAGAAACAAGGTAAGTCTACAGAACTTTCCCTGCCACTGCTCATTATTAGAAGACGTCACTTTTGATGTTTCACATAAGAAAGTGACATGCTTTGTTTTATATTACATTGTCATGCTCTTGAGATATTTGAGTGGTTGTAGAGTGCCATTTATGTTTAAGATGAAAGCCTGTTTTGAAAGTGATAAATTGATTAAGTCTTAGATCTATTAGTTTTATTCTTTTAACTCATTTTGCTTTATGTAAGCATGCTTAAGGTTTTAATGTATGGGCTAATGGTAACATACAGTGGACTCTTCAAATGTAAAACTGGAAGCATTGTGTAGTATCTATTCATCTTATTTAGAATATTTGACAGTGTGTTTCTTGGCCATGCTTTTTAGTTTGTTAAAATAGTGTGAGTACTTGATTATTCTAATTGTTTACTATATTGGCATTGCAACTTTAAAATGTTTTGCTATTAAGACCTTTTTGGCTTCATAGGTATCATTTAGTGTTGAAGTTGAAAAACACCAGTACAGCAAAATTTAGATTTAACTCTATTCTTCCCCCAGTGATAAAAATATTTTAATTTCTTTGCATCAAAATGTAATAGATTTTATTAACATTATTTTCCCCCTCTCCTTTTTTGTTGTTGTTGTTTTGTGAGAACAGAAAGTGGAACCAGGAAAAACCACAGCTCTCTGGAAGGTACACCAATTTATGAGCGTCAGCTTTCTGGTGACAGTCCACATTCGTTGAATGCAGACTCCTTTTCCATGACTTCCAGCCTAATGAGCGGCAGCATTGATCATTTGAGTACTGGATCTCCAGATCAGGAAAGTGTGTTCAGTGTGGAGTCCCATACAATTTTACAAGAAGATAATGGTTCAGAAACTTTCAGCGTCCTACAGTCTCCTGAGTCTGCGACTGTACTAATTAATGAAGAAAATGGATATATGGTTCATTTGCAGAAACTTCCAAACAGTGACAGTGGCATGGGTACTTCAGCTGTTACGGGTACTTTGAAATCTGTCTCTCCTCTAATCCCCACAGAAGACTTGACAAGCAGTGTTGATGGTGGATATAATGGAAGTGTGGTTTCTGCAAGCAATGAATACTGTCTTGAAAAGCTGAGCCAGGAGGAAGAGCAGGATTTTCCTACATTGTGTAAAATAGATGAAAATTTAGATAAAATGAAGCTGCAGGATACTGAAAAATCTTTTGAAGAGCCAGACCTTACAGACCCAATGCTTTTGGAATGTGACAGTGAACTTGGTGTTCAGACATCAATGACACCAAAGGAAAGCGATGAAACTGGTGGGGAAGACCAACAGCAACTCTCTCTAATACACAGCGCTCTGTCAGATCCTTCTCTGCTCCACTTTGACATCTCTGATGATGTTTATTCAGAGAACACTTCCATTTCTGGATGGAATTTTGAAAGTACAATCAAAGCTAAATCTAGTACCAGCACTGCTGAATGGGTAACAGACACTCATGAAAGTAAGACTGAGAAATCTGCCTCAAGTGATGAAGAAGATATTTATGGACATGGATTACCGTATTCATCTTCGGAGACTAGCATGCCTGAAGTTGGTGCTGGGCCTGGTTCCCAGGATATGGCCAAGATAAGCCTAGATGAAATGGTGCTGTTAAAATCTGATCAGGTACATGTTTTCAATTTAGTTAAAATACGTAATTGCAGCATTTCAAAAGAAACATTAATGTAATTACTATCCTTTACTTCTTTAAGAAAGCAATTTTTTTTCTTACTTGATTCGAGAAAACAAGTAAAGCGTAAAGCCAAACAGCAATATGTGTTGTAACTCTTAGGAAATGTGATGCATCCAACTTCAGAATAGTTGATGTGTGCTTAGAATGTGAAGAAGCCGCACTGGCTGTATTATTCCCAGCTCAACAAAAATGCTGTCATAAACCCATCCATTAAAGAGTGAACAGTAAAACCAAGTCACACTCAAAGGCTGCTCCTTGTTTGGTTCTCCAGTAGCCCAAATACTCCACGATGCTGTTCGCAACTTCAACTGACTTCATGGGCAATTAATGCTGATTATCTCACATGGTTGGCCTCTTGTTAAGGATCATTTTACCTGTAAATGCTCGGAATAAGGATTGCTCTTCCTTTGTGTCCTAGACAGCAGTTAGTACTATTTAAAATGTTGACATTTTTTTCCTTTTTCTGTTACCCCTCTTTCCTTCATTGTCATTTTGTGGGTGAACATTTCCAGAAATAGTAACTCTCATATAGAAGAGAAGACTATAGAAGTACTAAAATTAATTGTAAAATCTGTAAAATTGCCAAAATTACTGGGAGTTTTAGCAGAAATCTTAAGAAGGAAATACAGTTCTTCAAGTTGGGGGTTTTGTTGTGGTTTGTTTGGGGTTTTTGTTTGTTTTAAATCTCTAACAGCCTTGTATTGGGTTTAATGAAATGTTTGTTGATAAACGTTGAGTTATAAGATGATGGTGTCCTATTTAGTAACAGCTGCAGTCCAAATTGTAGAAGACACTTAGTTTCAGGTTATTACACATTGGAATGTTTAGAAAAGCTTCACAAATGTTTACATTATAGGCCGTGTATGCAGTGCTTGAGTTCACCTCATGGAAGCTATCAAAATTTAAGATAGCAGTCTGTAAACCAAATTTCTGCAATATATGTCTCCTGTACCATACAGAGTATTAGAGTTGGATATTTTGCTGTCTCTGCACTCCTGCTATCTTGTTCCCTTTGCTCATCACTTCAGAGACAATAAATAATTTCCTGGACTACAGACAGATTCTACATTTTTATGTATTCCTTTTTGCATCTGCCATTTACTTTAAGTATGTGTTCTTTAATTAATAAGAGAAGATTTGCCCACTTTCTGGAGGTAGATGACAGTGTGGAGGGTTGGTGGGGTTTTTTGCTAAAACTTTTGTTCTAGCAGTCTTGTTTCACAGTACATACTATGTTAGTGAACATGGACAGATGTAGTTTTAATTATACACAAGGTAAATGTATTCATTGATTAAGGTACTTAAGAATCTTAAATTTAGCTTTTTCAAATCAAAATATGGGAGCTGCTGTGCTTATAGCCATTTTCTTGTGCAGTTTGAAGACACCTGACACTGTTCTGACTCTACAGTTTTTAGTTTGCAGAGAGCTGGATGGGATACTCTGGTCCTGGTTATGGCATCCTGAGCCTGGTTGTCTCAGAAAAATACATTTGGTGCTTGGACTACAGAGGCAGCCTGTACTGCAGCGCTCTTCCCGCGGCGGGGCTGCGATGGCAGAAGTTTGAAGACGGTGTTCAGCACAGTTTCCCCCTCAGGTTGGTTGGCTTCCACTTCCCCGCAACTGCATAAACATAAAACTTGCATAGACTCGTGTGTTTTCTTTGCTTTCTTATTTTTTTTAATAATGCCTACTATTTAATTAGGTGAAACTTGTCATCTTTCTGAGATTACAGATACAGTTCAGTGCATGTGTAATTTTCAAGTAGGAAATTTTTTGGTCTTTTTTTAATACAGTACTTCCAGAATCTTGTTTGCTTGGGACTTGTTTCATGCAAAAGTAGTGTGGATTTTGGTTTTGGTTTTGGTTTTTGTTTTTTTTTTTAAGTCATATTGGGTGATATGACTGCATCTTCACTACTTCTACATACCATGTTCTAGTTAAGTGGCTGTTTTTCTAACAGGTTCACATTGCATTTTGGGAAGTTTTCAACATGTGTCTGCCTGATTAAAATGAACTTCAGAAACAGGAGTTCAGTGGTAGGCGGAGATGAATGAAGAGGTCCTTGTCTGTACAAAACCTTGCTTTGGTTATAAGCTTGTGTCACTGGCCTTCCAGATTGTTCCAAGACTGGTGTGAAAATACAAGTTTTGTAGACATGTTCTTTACTTAGTCTCCTGCCTTGCCACTACTTTTTTTTTTTCCCGTCGCCTCTAAAAGCACATGCCAATCTTCCCCTTCTCTGTAGAGGCAGATTTACTAGCTGTTAGAAGGAGAGAGGAGGTCTGTTTGATCTGTAGCTGAGCTTTGTTATGGACTAAAAAAAAAATTTAAGAACGGCTGTACTAGGTTCAGTGTCTGGTCCTTAACAGTGGTTGGAAGCAGATGTCTGCAGAAAAGTAAAAGAACTGGGTTATGATGTTTGTATGACGTTTGCCCTCGGTAGTTTCAGCCTACAACTCTTGGTGGCCCAGAGATTTTCTGGGCAAAAGATTGCTTCTCTGTGTTTATTATCACTCAATTCCAGGAACTCACCCAGTTTTTCATCAAATCCATACAAATTTCTAGCATCCACAGTTTCCTGTGGATGTATTAACACAAGAGCATGTTAACCGTAAGCATCAAAATGGAATCAAATGCTACATTGTGGAATTGTTCAAAGGAAGTTAATATGACAGTGTACTGCTTTGGTAGCAACCAGTGTGGATGCCAATCAGAAATTAAGTTTGGAATTCCATTTGGGTTTTCTTTTTGTCATGGTTTTACCCCAGCCGGCAGCT